ATATTTTAATTTATCTCATGTTCATCAAATAAACTTCTATTATTATTGTTTTTAATTATATATTTATTAAGAGAATGTGTTTAGTATTTTTTTTACCATTATTTTGAATTGATTAAAAATTTATTATTATTAATTTTATTTTTTTATATCTTATTATGAAATCAGGCTATTATTTTTTGTCATTTATTTTTTAGAATGTTATATTTAAATTATGCTTATAGGTGGTTATTTGGTATTTTCCTCATTATTGTTAGTGAAAAATTTTATTTTTATATGAAACGTTTCCTAATTATAAATTTTATTATATTTAATGTATTTTTAAAAGTTTAAAAAATTCTTATTTATTATTAAACATTCTCTACATATAAAATTGGTGAATCTTAAAAATTTGTATTTTCGATCAGTTTTTTTATTTATTAAGAATTTATCATTATTATTAGAAATTATTTAACTACATGTGAAGTTTTGTTAAATAAATATGTATATATTTTATTTTTTGGCTGGAAAGTTATTTGTGTGCTTCAGTTTTTTGTTTATTTCTGGAGATTAAATAAACATTAAATAAATGTTTGAAAATAAACATTAAATAAATGTTAAAAAATAAACATTATTAATGTGTAATATTTTTAAACTAAAATAAATAATAATAAGAAAATTAAAAAATATATTTAAAATTTATTACAAAAATTTTAACAATAATTATAAAAATAACAGTTTATAACAATTATATATCTTAGATATTCATAGCAAACGTTTTAATAAGAAAATTATTAATTTTAAGAATAAAATAGTTAAAATAATGTATAGCGAATACTTTCTCCCTTTTACTCCCCATCTTTCCTAATGCTTTGTTAGTTTTTTCCAATAAACTTGAAAGAACTTCTGAATATAATTAAAATATTTACAAATAATTATAATTATATAAAAATAATTTTTAAATATATATAAAACAATTTCAAAAAAAAACTAACAAATAAAAGACAAAAACTTGATAAAAATTGATAAAGCAACTCAATATACAAATAATTTCTAAAATATTTAAAATAAATGAATTTAATTTTGAAAAATAATAAGTAGATAACCTCTACGCTCTTTCCATTATTATTTGAGCAATCTTAATATTTTTTGGAACTTTGACACCTTTTTTATATATCAGTCTTCTTATATTTTTTCATATATAAACGCGTAAAGATTATAATATAATTTAGATAAACGTAATATAAATAAATTTTATTAAGATACATTAAAATATTAAAGATATAGTTTTATGCAAATATTAAAAAAAAATTAATATAAAACATTATAATTTGTATTTAAAAATAATTTAATAAATAAGTATTTAAATAAGATAATTTATATTTAAAAAAAAAGACTTTTTAGAAGCAATATCTTGATTGCAATAGCTTTTTAAAGGAAGCTTTTTAAAGGATATATAAGAATGTATTGTATTAATACTTTTTTGTATTTATTAAATACCTTAAGAACGTACCATGTATTTTTCGTCGTACCTACAACACAGTTAATTATAACATAAAAAATGAATATATGTATGATTAAAAAAATTAATAAAAAAATATACATTTATAATATTAAATTTTTCGTATTCGCTATATACAAAAATAATTTCCTTCTTATAAGGAAATTAAAAATTAATTTTCAAATACTAAATAATAATATAATAAAAAATCAAAATCAAATATGATATTAATAAAATTAATTATAAAAAATATACAAACCATTGAAATGAAAATAATAAATAAAACACATTTTTAAAAGAAAATAAAGTTTAATTTGTATTTTAGGAAATACGTGAAATTATTTTTAAATTTGAAATTCTTAAAAATAAGATATATTACAATTTAAATAAAATCATTGCAAATAATTTAAAATGCAAATTCTTATTAAACGCAAAAGAAATAAAATGCTTAAGCACTAAAAATAAATAAAAATGCAGATATAAATTGAGATATAACGAATATTATTCAAAACAATAAATACATATATATATATATATTTATAGTAAATTATTTTTGTTAACATTTTAAGTTCATTATTGATTTGAGATACAAAGATTTCCAAATATAGCATAATATGAACCAATTTCACAAATGCATACTTAAGTGTTGATTTAACACTTAAGTGATATTTATCCAACTTTTAAGTAACTAAATTTTTTTTATAAAATATATAAGTTATATTATAGTTATATTAACTATCATATATAAATTATATTTTCATCTATTGAATAATATTTGTTATATCTAACAAATAACTGCAATTCAAAATTATAATATGTGTTTATTGTTTTTTTCTTATTATATATAAAACAAAAGTAAAATATGAGAACATTTTATTTCACATATAAAAATTTTAAAGCTAAATAAATTGATTAAATATTAAATATGCAAATTTTATAAAATTGTTAGTAAGAAAATAATTATTATTATTGTTGTTTATTGTATAATACAATCGTTTTGTGTATATATAAGAATTAATGAAATGTAGCATGTACATAGTGCTTGATATTAGAAGATAAATAATAAGTGCAGTTACAGGGTGTTACATTTACACATAGTATGTAAAGTGTATTATTCCAACTGATATGAGCAGTAGATTTAGTTGATATGCTTTCGTATATTATTTTTTAAACACCCTGTATGAAGGAAGAGCTACAGTTGTTTATATATTTAAAATTATTTGTGCTTTTTGTGTTTTGCTTTTTAATTTAATACAATTTTTGTTTATCGTTTTTACAATTATAAATTTCAGCTGTTTCACAAATATAAATAAAAAATTGAAATTGGAAGACACACACATAGACAGATTAAAAATAAAATTGTATTATAAAAAAATTAAAAATATATGCAATTTTTTTTACATAAATTATAGATATTGACTTTCAACTTAATATCACTACAAAGTCAAGCAAACATTTGGTATAAATTATTAAAAAATTTCTTTTCCATTTAAAATAATTTTCTTTGACTAAATATAGAAAATATATTAGCATTATATATATGTAATTTATAATTTTTAAATAAACTTTTAAACAATTAACTTTTATCGATTATAATTAATAGGACACAAAACGCTTACTTAATAAGGCGTGTGATTTTAAAAGCAGAACTAAGCCTAGGAATGGATATTCCAAAAGAATCATTGACGTGTAAAGTATCAGTATAGTTATGGTCTCAATCAGCTCTATATAGTAAAAATTTCGGATAAATTAAGTTTAATATTTTATGGATTTTTTACATTGAAATATATGTATTCTCATATCTTAGGTTCTGTGTAGAATGATATTTACAAGCATAACTATGCTTTAAATAGTTCTTTGACTGCTGGAGTTGCTTTCTGGTAGCTAATAATTGAATATTTATAAATATATCTATGTATTTTTCGGATATATATCTCTTTTCGAATAACTCAGCTGTCTCTCTTTTTTTCCAAGCTTACTTGTTCTCAAATTATGTTTAATGAAAAGGGAGTACATTGGCATGTTGTTGTTATTATCATAACCCGTGAAGATTTATATGATAGATAATAATGCCAATATATGCAGTTTAATTCCAACTATATAAAGTCTCTTTTCCCCAGATCTATTACTTGTTATTAAACGCCGTTCAATAAGAGTGTAAGAGGATACCGTAAAGAACTGTTTCGAAATATTTAAAATTGATACTGAAAGAGTTAAAATATTTCTACATATTTTTACGAATTATTCAGAACAATTTTAGACGAATTTATATCAAAACGAGGTTTAAAAATCGGATGATAACACACTTAAGCAGTTCCTTAAAGCGCAAACGGATGTCTGCATGGAAGGAGAAACTGACTACAGAAACTACAGAAACTGACTTAATAATCATGCGTATAGGAAATTACGAAGAAGAAAGTTCTGAACCACACTACGTAGTAATAGCTAAGAATGATGCCCATACAGAAAATAAAAACCGATTGAGAATATAAATATTATAGAGAAAAACTTGAAAGAAAAGCATATAAAAACAGTAAGAAGATTGTTTTCGAAATAAGAGTCATCACTATTGGGCAGAATATCTTATAGATAAGAAATACCTAATATTAAGAACGTAACCACAATAGAATGAAGATTAAAATATCTTCAATGGTAAGATATTTTATTATATAATATTATATGAAGGACTCTACAATTTATTGTAAATATTTAATTTAGTTATGTTTTGATTTAAAAAAAATCTGTTTTTATTTAAATTGAAAAATCCCATGCAAAATTCCATTTTAGTATTCCCTCTCCCTACACACGCCTTAATTTATGACTACTTTGCAAATATTAATTTAAAAAAATTTATAAATATATAATTTAAATAAAATGGCAATAAAATGTAATTAACTTAACATAATATTAAATACAAAATCTTAAATGCTAATATATAAAGCAAATTTAAAAATTTAAAAATATTTGTATACAAATGAAATTTTTTTTGCAGTGTACAAAACACCTAAGATCTCCATTTTTTTCTAACTATTTTCTTACACACAATTTCACTGACTTATTTTTCGTATATATGTATTTATATTTTTATTAATTTTTCATATTTTTTGACTTAAATTTTTTTAAGTGTAAAATTAGCAAATTTCGTTTTGTTGTTGTTGTTGTTTTTTTTTGTATATATAAATGCAAAAAATTGTTAAAAAATGTTAAAATTGTTTAATCAAATTTTAGCTTTCAACTTCACTCAATTTTTTTCAATAGATTCTTTTTTACTTTATTATTATTTTTGGTATTTTTATATTATTATTATATTGAAATTTTAAAATGTACTTTAATTTAATATAATATAAACCACGTCGAACATTGAATTTTTTTTTGTTTTTGCTTTTTTACTTTGGCTTAACCATTTAATAATCATTATTTAATATATATGTTTGTTGTTGTTGTATTATTTTTAGTTTTCATATAGTTTATAAATAATTATGTATTTTATAATAGTTTAATATGTAAAGTTTTATATTCATAATTATAAATTTAATTATAATATTAATATATTAGCTTGTTCGATTAATATTTATAATCTTATCTCTTTCGCACACCGCCATCTTGTGTTGTATATTGTATTTTGTTGCTCTTTACTAGTGTTCTCTCTATTATTATTTATTGCTATTGTAAATATAAGAAAGATATGTTAATATATATATTCCATCTATATACATGTACCATTTAAATTGACTTACGTTGACTGTTTGCTTTATGAGTTTTTTACAAATTACACTGCCATAGTATCGTAGGCTGTGAATCCTGCGCCACTTTGTTGTTGGAGTTGTTTTGGACCGGCTTCGTTTCTATATTAAAAGGAGAAAATTAATTAATTATTTTCTTTTCTTTAAATTTAGTTTTAATTTTAAGCTTTAAGTGTATAACAAACGTTAACAAAAAGCTGCAACCATAATATTTGATTTTTTTTTTTTTTTTTTGTTAATTTAATAAATATTTTTCACTGTGTACTCAGTATAATCATATACATTAATGCTAGACTATATTACTTGGTAATTAATTCATTCTATGACTGCGGCATACACAACATTTAACAGTAAAATTTAATTTTCTAAGTTTAATTATTTGCCTTTCCTATAAATGATTATTGTCCTCATATTCATATTAGTTTCATCAAAACTTTTAAATTTCATAGATAAATTACATGTATACTAAAAGAAGATACTGTTTTAATTCGACTTAGATTCCTTAGATGATACATATAATTTTTGAAGTCTCAAAATATAATATAACTAACTTCTCCTGTCCCTTATATATAAATTCTAATCATATAAGTCCTACTTCTTCAGATCTAACTGCGCAACGTATCTTGCAAGATGGACTGTTACAGGGTATTTAGACACCAAATTGGACTAGGTACGTGAAACTTTTATGTTAGCAGACCATTGTAGCATTAAACATTCTAAAATAGAAAATAAAATATTCCGAAATAATATAAAACTTCTAAACACGGTATTTTTATATAAGAATATAAACTCTAATAAAATATTTTTTGGCAACTACAAGGTACATAGTAGGAAAAAACAACAACATCAACAGCAATTAGCAATACAACCCCGATATATAGAATCATACAAAAAAAAAAACAAAAAATATTCAAATATGTTATATGTATTCATATAGGGAGTGGATTCAAAAAATTTGCTTTCCGGTTTTACTATGTTACTCAGGTATCGAGTTAGTAGTTGTGCAGTACCGTGTATAACTCTTATATGGTATGGTTGTCTAATCTATTAATTCAGGTGTTTTTAGCTTTACAAGAATAGAAAAAAGATACAAAAAATCAGCAAATTAAAGAATATCATAAACAGACTACGGACTATGAAGAAAGATACCATATAAAAAAATGTTTTTAAATCGCAATATGTCGGCGACATATTAATATTAAAAGTCCATCTAATTAAATTGGGTTCTTTATTGACGAAATTGCTACTAAGCGCATAATTCTGCACATATGTATATAATGGATATACACTGAAACACATAATTTTTTTTTTAAACTAAAAGTTTTCATTAAGAAGTAAACGGTAGATAATTCAGATGTATAATACTACTTAGAAAAGGAAAGAATGTTTGAGCTAAGTTATAATATAATGGACTGTCAGATAGTTACCTCGATGAGTAAGATTCTATAATATAAAAAAAGGCTAAGTTCTTTAGAAATAAAGCTCTTATTCACGCATACACAGTCTATGCTATTTTAAATGAGTTTCTTGAAAAATATGTATGGGAACGAATATTTGTCCAGCACACAGTTTTTCCGCCATGACGGTTGTAAGAACCTCAAGTAACGTCGGTAAAAAGCACTTGCAATGCAATGAACATTGAGATATCTTCCAAGCGATCCTTGTGAATGTGCTAGCCTCCTATGAGGCTTGCACAGAATTTGGCGAATGGTACTTGAATACTTGACTAATTAAAAAAACATTTTTATCGATCATACGAGTTTTGACTAGTCTCTAAAATGAAATTGACGATGAAAAGAAATAGTTAGGGTACCACGCGAGTATCGAAAAGGGCTTCTACTAACGTAGTAAACGCAATTATCGCCGATGAATACAAAAACGTTTTAAAAAATTTATTGAACGTTTTTAATACAGTGTTGACTTGGACTAGAACAATAAGCATAACACATCAAAATAAAATAAAATGAAACATTTATTTTAAACTATTTCATCGGATTTGGAACGAACGGATGTATACGAATATCTAAACTATGCAAATATTATGGCATATCTTCTCACTGACTTATATAGTAGCCTATAGTATAATCTTCCCTACAATTAGCTATATTAAAAAAGTTTCACTTCCAAGACTTCAAATTAAAGGTCAGAAAGCACTAGTTGTGTGAAAAAAATGCAGTAACTATATCTTCCTTACTGGCACATGTAATTGTCAATAAATACGCTTCCTACAAGAACCTATTTTTAAAAAGCGCTGCTCTCAAGTCTTTATATTAAAGACCAGAAAGCATTGCGGCCTAAACAATTGTGCATATATCTTTATATACACATGTCTGTAAACAATAATAACTTCTCTACATAAACCGTAATTTTTTCTTTCAAAGTTGTGAATAAACAGCATTAAGTCTGATTGAAACAAATTGGCATCACTTTTAAAATATGTCAAATGCTTTTTTTTGACATTTTTTCTTGTGTTGTGTACAATATGAAATATAATAATTGGAAACACTAAAAATTTGTTTGAATAAAAGAAAACGAAATGAATAGTAGCAGTGGTAAGCATTTTTTATCTTACTCTTTTGATATATTGCAATTTGTTTTTATTTCTGCTCTTATGATTTTAACGGATAACTCGAATGTGCAATATATTTCCAGAAAACATTCACAATAGGGTGATTATTGAATTTGGCTGCACTAAAACTTAAGACGTAAAACCTAACTCTGAAGATTTTAAGAGCATTGTTGTTGCGAGTATTTTTTTGCAACTCTGAAAGAAAAAATTACGACTATTATCAATTTATATTGTAATCTATTGTATATTTTTCGGCGTCCAGGAGAGAAAATATATTACTCTTTTAATAGGTAGATTTAATGTTGTAGCACCTTTTTCTAAATAACAAAATATACTCTTTACTTTTTATACTTTTTTGCTTCCTATTATATTTTTATTTTACAACTTTTACATACAATATATTCATATTAGTATTATTATATTTCAAGCTGTAAGCTGCAAAGTAAAGTAACATATTTATTGGTATTTTAATATACATTTTCAATAGTAAATTATTAAAAATAGCATTGATTATAGCATATATTTGGAAGGGTAAAATATCAAACTGTGATTTGCTTTCAAACAATAAACATTAAAATGTAAAACACAAACAACTTTATTTAATACAAGTATTTCAAAAACAACAAAAAAAACAACAAAACAAATCATGCATAAATTAAATATTGTAATAAAGAAGAGAATAATCGAAATAATTACGAATATTACTAATAAATTGTTACCGGTTACTTTTACTGTTCTACTACGAACTGGTTACTTTAATATCTATATGTAGCATGCAATTAGAAATATAGAAATCAACAAAGCATTACACAAAATATTACACATTACACAATTTCACCAACTTACAACTGCCTTCGACTAGCGTGATTCCAAAGTATTGTATGTATCGTATGTATTGTATTTACGGATTGTGATCCGTAATTAATTTTATATTAAAAACATTTGATTTTATGTTCGGAAGAAATGTGTTTGTAGAAAGTGAATAAGAACAAGAGAAATTGTTATAAAAAATAAAAATATTTGTGTTAATTTTGAACCATTACAAGGTGTTATTTAACTTTAAGATTAATTTAATTAATAAGTTTAGTTTAGTTACAAAAAGTTAGTTACAAATTCTTAAAAGTTAGTAGCTCTCAAATGATCAGTCAAATTAATATTGAATTGCAATTGCAAGTTAACAATTGATTAAATTATTTAAATATTAAACATTTTGCAAGGAAACTTCATTTATTTTTAATTGCTTTTTTAACGAAACAAACTTTCAACAAAGTTTAAAATAATTTTTGAATTTCAATTTATTTTTTATTTTATTTTATTTTTTTTACTTGATTTACTTTACCTTTCAATTAATTTGCGCATTTCTTCAGTTGTGCGTTGATCCTTTTGGTGTGGGGATCGTTTGACAGCTGCATTTGACAGATTCAGTTTCATTTCGGTTTTTTTATATACAGAAAATCGTTTCAAAATATTTTAAAACATTTTCCATCAACAATTTTTTTTATTTAAGATAAAAAAAATAAAAAAGAAAAGGAAAAATAATATATAAAATGAAAACATATTTTTAAATAAAAAACAATATAATAAAAAAAAGGCATTTTCAGCTATAATTGTGTTTAATAATTATAATTGAATAAACTTAATGTAGCGATTTTTTCTTTTTATAAATTTAATAATAATTTTTAAAAATATAATAAAATTATTTTCTAAAACTAAAAAAAGTGAAATTATATTATTTATGCATTAGGAACTTAGAAGCGATTATTTGTTTTTTAGGCTATTCTCTCTCTGAAGCTCTTTCTGGATGTTATTAAATGTGAAGTGCCTACGAGTTGGCATTCATACTGGTAACCTAATAAATGTTATTTATTGTTTTATAGTGGAAATCACTTATAATGACACCTGATATAATGAGCAACTGGAGTAAACGACTGTTATTTAACGTTAGATTTAGTTTGCCTTATATACTTAATATACAGTTTGCATCCTTTTTTATAGGGACATATTTAAATTAACAACATATCGGTTTTTCTGGTCGTATTTTAATAAAATTGTGGTTTTAGCTGCTGGTAATAACGACCAAATATAGAAAAAACCTTTTTTGTCACTCTTGTTTTTGTAGTATTTAAAGAAAAATTATTATCTCAAAGAAATTTTTGGCGACCAAACAAAAATTACTGATTATTTTTCACAGTGGGAAAATAATATAAATAAATATTAATTATAAATATGAATTATACATATTTTCATAAACATTATCATAACTTTTAATCTTATCGGTTATAATTCATACGAGTATTACTGCTTACAACGACCGGATTGACTCGGTTTCTTCAATGTCGTTATGTTCGATTTCTATTGTATATATTTTAAATTGAGTTTGAAAATAAATTCTTTGTTGAGAGATCTTTGTTTGTAGATCTACTACTCAAAATGTGTGAAACTCGAAAGATATAATTATGTTCTCAGTACATAACATAATATTCAAAAATTTAATAAATGCGGGCCTTCTTATGAAAAATTGTCTAGAAATTATCTATGAGAAATTGTAGAAAGGGTATTCAGTTTTTAATAAACTTAGACTATTTTTTTATATAGTAAAGCAAATACTTAATTATAACTAACTTTTAAAATAAATATATTTATATTTTAATAACGAATAAATGTGTTATAGATAATAAAAAAATAATTTCTTAAATTATATTTTGTGTCCTGACAAATAAAAAAAATTTTTTTTACAATGTAGAAATGCGCAGATAAAAATGATACATGCAATTCCATGATAACCATAAAATGAACATATGACACTTGTAAATCACAAATGAAATGAAAAATTGTTTAAATTACACACAAAGGTTAAATATTATTAAAAACTTAGTTACAAAACCATATGAAACACATATAAAAAATTATTGGACGTGCTAAACAGAATGAAGGTGTGCGAAACCATATTAAAATTATTTGAAATAAAATTTAAAATAAATTAAATTGTAATATCTTTTCTAATATATGCAGATAACTCCACTTGTGTCCAAATAAAAGAAACATAAATTTGTATTATAAATTTTTCAAGGTATAACACTGGCATAGGTATACATTAACTAATCATAATTGTAGAATTGGATTGGAAGATAAGGTGAAAAGGCATGGATTTGTATGGAATGCTAATTGAACTTAACTTGCGCCAAGTTGAATGGCGTCATGAGGAGTAGACTTGCAGTTAAGATACACATAAGTAAATAGTTACACACTAACTGCTATTGGGCAATGGTTATGGTATATAAAATATGGAATATGCTTTCCATATTTAGAGAAGTCAGAACCTGTTAATAACTGCGTTGCAATGCAAACATAATCTCGAAGAAGAAATTGAGTCGGAATAGAAGTCAGTTATCAGTTGTCAAAATTTAAACTTACTGCTACTTTTTTCACCGTTGTAATAGCTTGCGGTATATTCATGATACGTAGAAGAGGACCGATGAATATAACACAAAGGAAAAGTGATTCTTCAGATTCTGCCGCCTTTTTAACGTCCGTCTGTGAGGATTTAAGATTGCTTAACAACTAGTTATGATATTTTATACTGGATTCACACAAGAGATCTATTAGCTGTCAATAAATTTCATTTTGCATCTCTCGTGTGAATCCAGTATTATAATATGCATTCTAAACTTCGTCTGAAGGCGTCCAATATTACGAAGAAGTCCAAATAATCAGATTTTTACAGGTACTGTATAACTTTTCAGATTAAAACATTAATTAAATATTAATTTTTTACTCAAAAAGACGAGTCATATACATTGTCAGTATCTATCGCTAAAATGATAGGTGGTAACTTTTAAGAATTACTTTCCATTCGGACACAAGGGAATAAATAAAATTTTATATCAATTAATTAAAAAATAATATTATTAAACCAAATACCAAACCAAATTTTTTGTATTTTAAAACACAAATGCGAAATAATTTCATAAAAAAAAATATTTTTTAAAATCAGAAAAAAGTGTGCTGGGCTTTTAAATAAAAAAGTTAGCAAAACACAGTATGAATTTGAAGTTGTTTATGTACTTACTATATATACATATATTTTATATACATATGTGTATGTATATAATACATATAGATATGGGAAACTTTCAAAATAATAAAAACAATATCCAAATTGATGATTCAAAGAATCGCCCGCGATTATTGCAACGGGCAATACATCGGACAGGACAGATGAATTACATGAGAATGTAGGTATGAATCTGAATTCACATGAGTGTGTACCTTGGATTGAGTGTATGGTAGTATATAGATACGAGTGTCTGTAAGCGGAGAGCTGATGATATGAAAATGTGATTTTTATACTTCTCATTTGAATGGTTGAAGTATTGCAATGAGTTCTGAAGATGAAGTGCTTTGAACTTCAGGTAAGTTGAATTAATGGAAGTATTGAACGAGAATGGATTTAAAGTTGGAATGGATTTAAATAATAAAAAGTTAAATGAATCAAATTTCTAACTTTTAATAAATTCCAACAAGAAAGAATTTTTAAACATCATCACTCACCCTCATTGGAGTCTTCTAAATTTTTCGTTTTGTTTTTTGGTTTTAATTATTTGTTTTTTAAAAAAAAAGTAAACAAATTTGAAAAGCAAAGATTTTGTGTTAAAAATACATCGCAAATTTTGAATTTAGTTTTATTTTATATATGTCGGTTTTTTTTTTTTGTTACTTTCTTTAGTTGTAAAACTATTAGATACTTTAATCAACTCACCGCCATAATTGCCGCGTGGTCCGTGATCACGGTCACACTCAGCTTCTGAGATCTCGTTGCTCTCTTTGGAATCGTTGAAAGAGGAATTACTCATATCGTGATTACGTGGTGGTGGTGGTGGAGGTTCTGGTGAACCATTTCCTGGATTACGTGCAGAACCTGAAATTATTTCAATGAGAGATTTAGTTGATCTTAAAGATTGTGTCGTTTATATTCCATTAATATTTATAAAAACATTTTTTAATGTGCATAATAAAATACTTAGTGATACATATAATTCAATTCAATATACTTTACAGTAACATTTCCAGCAAGAAATAAGTGGAAGGGAACAAACTTTTATAGTAAATAACATTATTCACAGATATATACTACCCTAAGTTTTAGGGATTAGTGAGATATGTCGGTTAACTACAAACCCTATAGAAGATTACTGCAAGGTTGCCATTTTTACTATAATCTTACACCATCAAATCAAAACTAGTAAGAGATTGTAGGAAAGAATTTGACGGGCTAAATCAACTCTCGAGCATCACTTTCATAGGCGTTTCCAAATATTTAGGGGAATAAAAACCTAGATGGTATAGTTTACCTTGGAATTTTTATATACGTCACCCTAGGAATACCAATATTTGTTATCCTATATATATACATGTTAAGATAGGCGTCTATATCCATTTTCAGCAACTAGCTACTAATAGGTGAGAGTAATTTACAACATGTTATATATCCCAGTAGACTTGGCCTTTATATTTACGCAAGGGAGTTTATTCACAGATGACGAATCCATCCTATCAGACCAATTGCAGTTCTGTTAGGTCATTGAACTTCGCAGAGGAATTACGTCCACCCTTCAATACTTATTATAGAAACTGCGAAAACATTTTATCTGTGACTGCATAAGAAGGAACAGATTTTTAGGAATGTGCTTTTGTGACAATCGGACAGACTACTTATCAGTAAAAACAAAGAGTCTATTAAACTACATAAATTGCAAGTTATGAATCTAATTTAACTACAGAAGTTTATTTCACGGAATGTGGCATCTGCCGATCAGCCACTAAAATCAATATATTTTTAAACAACATGGAGTCTATTTAGTTATTATATGGTTACTATTAGTCATTATTAGAAAGAACAATGTTACATGAGATTTATTGTGGTATGATTGGGTGTTAATCCTCTAAGCTAATCCGAGCAATTAAAAAATATTACCAAACCTAACAATATTTTTTGGTACAAAATCTCAGAGTTCAGTGAAAGAAGAGCACAAGCATGCAAGATATATTACAGAATTTGCAGTTCTTTGGTCTTAAAGGCATTTGTTAACAAAATCATACTCAGTTAAGAAATCAATGAATAATCTTAGATCAGATATATTTTTATTGACTTGAATGAACAGGACTTTAAGTTATGTATGAGTTAAAAAAAATATTAATGAAAATAACCTAAAAAAAACTGGACTTTATCATCTAAATAATATAATTTTGTAGTTGCGTTATTGTAAATAATAATAATAATAGATTTACTTACCAACACTACGTCGTCCCATAGAACCACGTGAGCCATAATGATCATAAGGTGTGCCATAAGGACCACCATATTGTGAGCCATATTGATCTTCTTCAGGTGCGCAATTAGCTGGATCGTCATATTCAGGTCCAGGGCCAGAGTATAAACTGCCACCTTGTGAGTTAACACGTGTGTATCGACGCTGTTTGAGAGATTATGTGTAACTTACCGATATAAAAAATATTTCACAATTATTATATTGTTTTAACTTACGTATTGATCTTCTTCCGCGCAATTAGCTGGATCATCATATTCCGGTGCTGGTGTATAAATTGATGATTGACCACCCTGACTGTTTTTACGTGCATAACGATTGGCTCGTGGCATTGATTGTGAACCTGAACGAGAGTGCATGTGTCCGGGATGTCCTGGTGGTCCCATAGTGCCAGCATGTCCGGGTCCTGGTGCATGTCCATTTTGATGTGGGAATGTTTGGAAGTTCATTGCTTTAGTAGGGTCCATTTCTTCACGGAATCCAAGTAAGTGGAAAGTAGCATAAGGACAAATTTCATCTTCCATGCCTTTTGAGTTTTTATTACGTAAATAATTTTGTTTTGTTTTTTGGTTAAAGAAAAAAGAAAGTATATATTAGTACATGTGTAGAATAAGATGGATATTAGTGTGTAATTTATGAAAGTGTTAATGGAGTGTTGTTATGTTGTTGTTTCTGTTAATACATTTCAAAAAAAAAAAAAAAATAAAACATGCAAAGGTTAAAAACATGTTATATTATTAAACTATTAGTTTACTTACTTAGAGTTAATGTTAATATTATATTAACTTCCATGCCTTTTGCCATGAGATTACTTATAAATCTAAGTGTTTTAATACTAAATAAAACTATAATGGTTTTATAAAAAAATTAAAATTTTGATTTTATTTACAAAAACAAATATCTATAACGCGATATCTATTAACGCGATTGAAGATTGAGAACAGTTCTTATTTTTGAACTACGTCTGATATCTCAGTTGGTAAAGAAATTTTAGAAGGAACGTTTTAGATTCTATAATTTAGAATATTACAATTAATAATAAATAAAAATTAGGATGTATAGAAAGCAGAAGAATTTTCTTTCCACAGACTTCGAGATGTACAGTGTCGAGATGTACAAACTCCCGAAAGATGATATGTGGTAGTAGTAGTTTTTTTTAGTTAGATATTCATATGCATATATTCAGATATTCTCTTACATTCTAGTGAGGTGGTCTTTGTTTTTAGTGTGGATTTATAAACAAGAATTCAGTTTTTGAGCCACTAAGCCAAGTTCGATTTTTTGAGAAAATATGTAGAATAGATAATAGTTTTATACTATCATGAAAAACCAAGGAGAATTATAGATGCCAATATCTATTTGTAATTCAATAGTCTTGTTTTAATCGAGAATGTTATTGAAAAAGAATAAACAAAAACGCGTCTTTATTTCTGTTGTTATATGCAATATTAATTCCTAAAGTTGCTTTAGGAATGTTAGGATCAAACAGATTAGGTTATACATAATGCGGTCTTCTACATCCACTCAGGCCTAAAAGACCAATATGTTACCACAGAAAACTCGATAAAGTCAAAAGCATCGTGACGCAGTAATTAAGCTTAAGATGCTCTTAAAGGCAACGCTTTGTAGCTGACTAAAATCCTCTAGAAATCGAGTAACTAATTTATAATTATGTTAACATTTGATTTTTTCAATATATGGTTTTGTTGTTGTGAATTTAAACTGAAATGCACAATACTCGTAGATGTGTTATATCAATTCATTAGTCAAATTGTTAGCCAGGTTATCACGATGATCTTATGGATCCACTCAGGCCTAGTTGGGCTTAGTTATTTTAAAAAAATCGTTAGTCAATGTTAGTAAAAATTATTGTCTGTGCATTTACGAAAATGAATAATGAAAAACTTATTTCAAATTAAATCTAAAAAATTATAATTAAATTCGTATCCTACCTGGATGCCGGTAATGGCATTCAGCAGTGCCATGACCATGACCATAAACATTGCCATGTAATGGCACCGGTGGTGGTTTCAATTCTTCGTATAAATTTGGTCGACGAGGATCCCAAGTGGAATGATTTGAACGCAAACCACGGCCTACTTGTGGCGACAATACACAACCATTGACCAATTTTTTCATATTCACAATATTTTACACATTTTATATGAAGTAGGTGGTATAGGTGTCGGGTGTCGGGTGTCAGGTGTCAGATGTGTTGTGTTCGAGTATTAAAATTACACAAATTTTGCGAAACAATAATACAACGTCAATATAAATTAAAAACATAAAATTAAGCATAAAATGTAGGTTGTTAAGCATTTTGCGGGTTGAAACGGGAAAAAATAAAAAATTAATTACATTTATTATTTGTTTTTAATATTATATACATTAAATATACTATATAATTATTAACAGTGCAACAATTTGTTCATAATTAATTATTATTTATTTATATTTAATTATAGTTTTCATTAATTTATTATTAAGTATGATATTATGGATTATATTAAAAGTATATTCGAAAAAATAAACCACAATAAAATAAATTCAGTTCTATACTATTTTATGGCTGCAAATCGAATTTAATCGAAATTTTCAACTTTTCAGTATAATTGAACCAATTCACAAACCGAACCATAAATCCAAAGTTTGGATTTTTGAATTTTAAGAATCAGTTCTAAATAAAAACTTTAGACTTCAAACCAGTGGCTTTGCAAATTCTAAGGAACGGTTCTGAATCGGAGTCTCCGACTTATTGTATAATTGAAAAGAACCATTTGCTTAGCATATTTATAGGAAACCATTTCAGAATTATATGTGGTTCACAGTCATTTTTGTAGTGTTTTGTAAAGAAAATGGTATATTGAGTTGATTGAAAAATCAGCATTAAAAGAAGCAGTTTAACTTAAGGCCTTTGATCGCCCATCTGTTAGTACGGATTACCTCAGCGAAAGATTCATATGTTGTCAGCGGTCTAAAACGTTAGAGAGATCGTGTCACTGATGGAGTGATCAAACTGATGTAGACCGTAACGCGAGAGGAAATGTGTGCAATTAGGGAGAAGCTTTGTGTCCAAACGAAATTCAGGAATAAGTTGCCGGTACTAGTTAAGTAATCACTAGTTCGAAGTCAGATGCTTTTAAATACAATTTTATAGCTCAAATCTATTTGAGTTCTGATTTTAAGATTTAAATTAAATTCAAACACTTCTTATTCTTCTTATTTGGACATAACAATCCGTTACAGAATTTCGATCTGTCGCAGCATGTGTCCACAGGCACTTTTGCTGTGTGCGCACTTTCTCCAGTCAACTTGATCACTCCACCGTAGATACGGTCTACCTCTACGTCTTCTTCCGTCAAGTACTGCTTCAAACAGCTTTTTCGCTCAATCTCACAACATGACTAAGCCAGCGAAGCCGCTGGATGTTAATACGCTGAATTATATCAATGTCGTGATAAAGCTCGTACAGCTCATGGTTCATTCGTATGCGGTAGTCGTCGCCAACTCGTAGAGGATCAAAGATCTTACGAAGAACTTTTCTCCTACACACTATTATTATTTATTATTTGAAAATTCATATCTTAATTGTTGCACTGTTAAAATTATTAACTAAATTTACTACAACATTTAAAAATAAAAAGTACATCATGCAGTGCATGGACTTTAACCAAAATTACTAAGTAATACAATACTAAGAATTTGGATTATACCATTTTTATAATTATTGGATAAATGGTATATTAAAATTTTGAGATAAATTTAAATAAATTTGAGTGTAAGTCAAGTCCTTGACGGTTTGTGATATATATATAAAGTGAATCTTATTACAATACTTGCTACTTTGCGTCACAATAATAAGAAGTAAATAATATTATTTTAAAGGAAAGCACTTTGCAACACAATGTTTTTGTGGCTAGCATTTGTCCTTCGTCCTTGTACGTGGTTCATGGAACTCGTACAAAGGACAAATTGGCAAAATGAAAAAAGCAAAAATATTCTTGTATTATTAAATGTTGTATTGGTAAATTTAGATGCTTACTTATTACTGTACCTCGCTTAATCCGGTCGCAGGTGTTGTAGTTGGAGCCAGGAACTGGTGGCAGTTTGCGGTTTGGTGGTGCAATATAGCCCAACTCGTCTCGTAGATCAGGTCGACGTTTGTCCAGGGTGGCGCCGGGTCCCATTGTCTGATTGTAAACTACATCGTCTAGAATTAATATATGATATCGCAAAACACAATATAAGATACTGAAGATGCTTTTTACCGTACTTTGAAAATTTTTTTCTTCTTTTATTTTGTTTTTTTTTTTTTTAAATTGAAAATTTCTGTTTCTTACTTTACTTCTGTTTTAATTCGATTGCGGCTCATTATCCTTTGATTTAGTTTAAAAAAAAATTTATATAAATAATGCGGTGCAATACACAATTTCTATATTTGTGGTAAATTTTTTTAGTGCTGTCAATTTGTATTTTTAAAATGAACTTTTCCAAAATTTCACAATTTGAATGCGTCACTCAGAAAATTTTGCTCTTGTATTCATAAAAAAAGTGGTTGTGCAAATAGAATCCAAAATTCGTGTTAAATATTTATAAGGAAAATGCACAAAATAATTGAAATTTAGTTAATTAGTTAATTAGTTAATATATAAATTACGTTAAAGAAAACAATTTAAATATTTAAATATTCAAATATTTACCAAATATACCAACGTACGACTTTACTTAAGGGAAAGTTACTTAAATGATGAATGAATAATGATTTTAATTTAATTCATTTAAATTTTTTTGGTTCATTAATTTTTAATCAACTTCTTTTTCCAATTTTTTCAATACTTTTTGGCGATCTTGAAAAGCATCTTAGTTTATTTTATTTGGTTTGAAATAAAAACTTAGAAAGTAGGTGCTTAAACTGAAACTATAATTCTTGAAATAAAAAAACTAAGTACAACAGCTGAAAGGGGCTGTTGCCGGGATATGGAATCGGGGGCTTTGTTGTTCAATATTATTTTAAACAAATTATTTATTAAAATCAAACTAAATATTTAGCAATAGACATGTAGTATGTTATTTTTGAGAATGAGTAAATATATAATTTATTTACATAGAATATCGATTAGTTATATCGAAAGCAAACACTTTAAAGGGGACGGGATCTAAGAAAAGTATTGATTTTTTGCTAAATTCAATTTAAAGTTACAATATATACAATTAATCAAATCTAATATCTTTCATACTTATACGGCACATATTTCTAGAGCATACTGAAGCATCTGACACATTGTTTTTTTTTTTTTTTCAGAGAACACCTGAAGATAAAAGATGATTGTGATTTGAAATCCTAAATCCTTTTAACCTGAATAAAATAAAAATAAAATAGTCAACGTCACATGTGCTTAAGTAATAAAGTCAGACAATAAAAATGTTACGAAATATATCAGTTGCCCTACTATATTGAATTTATGTGAATTTTGAAGCAGAGCGTTTCACTTCACTCACGCATACAGTCAATAACACCACAATAAAATAAAAAAATATTAAAAAGTGCTAATTAGCAGCAATAAAAATGTAAATTATTTTACTACAAAAAAAAATTGTAGTAGAGAATGTCCGTTGAGACATTATCAGTGTTAAAAACACGATATAAAATGTAAAAATATAGTATTATGGGAATATCGTAAATATTTCCATGATTGATTAAAAAAAACTTTTATGATAATATGCAGTTTCCAACTTCAATGCAATCATTATTTGATTCTGACGTGACGGTCTCCTTAATAAAGTTGTATAGTTTAGTTCTTTTAAATGAAGTATATCAATGAACTAGTTCGAAAGAGATTTAAAGAGATTACTTTTAATATTAATTTTCGGATTATGTGTGATTTTAATAAATGTATTTAAAAAGAAGATACTGGTGGTAATAAATAAATAAATATTATTTGGTGACAATAGTATGTAGATGTTATAGTGGCTCAGGTAATATTGTGCTTTAAAACAAGTCTAATTTTTTGATTCTTTAAATTAAGTAAATTTCAAACACAGTATAGATAATTTTAACAGTATTATAACTTAATAAGTAGAAGTAACTCTGACCTATTTCAGATTGTACCTAGTTTCTTGCTCATAGAAATATATGCTAAGTGTAATTAGTATGAATATTTAATTTTTTATAAATAATATTTTCAAATTGTTTGATGAGATGGAAAATTATGACAACTAGAAAAACAAAAACGGCAAACACACATTCCATAAAATATTTATGTTACATATATGTAATATAATAATAGATAATATAAAAAGCTACATATATTTTAATTTATGTATAAAACACATGACTATAGTTAAGACAATATTTACAACATAATCTATTGATATATTTTCAAGAATATATAGATAGAGCAAAAAAGCTAAATATTTGAATAATAATTCTGTTGTAAGAAACTGTTCTAAGCATGGGCGTAGCCAGGAAATGAGGCAGGATGGACAAGAAACAATTTTTACAATTAAAAATTATATTAATAAATTATTTATATTAATGTTTTTAGACTAGACATAGGTTATAGGTAACGAGCGAAAGACCCTATATAATTGTCCGATGGATTATAAGTGCACAAATATAGGGTCATCGCTCTATATGCTCACTTAGCTATGTTCATGTTTATTATTATTCTTCACATAATGTTTAAATAATTTATTATTATATATCTGATATCTTTAAAAGTTTTTTGATATAGATTTTTATAGTCCTTTCATAATATTTTTTGAATTTCAACCAAAAAACTAAGTAAAAAGGATCATTTTTGAACGCTAGTATATATTAAGCATTAGACTAGTGTATAGTGTATATATCATAAATTGGGTATAGCATAGAAGTTCGTACATTAGACTTTATTATCAAAATATGGGAGGCTACTACATATATGTGTTATGATACTTGTATAGGTATATAGTGTAGAAAATGTATATAAGTTCAATGTTTTGAGTTACGGATACTTAATCGTATGTAGTGCGGCAAAATTGGTAGAACTTTTTATAAATCTGTCATATTATGTACATTAAGATGCTTTGAGTAGTGCTAAGTATCGCGTGTTTCTATTGATTGTGTGTGTTTATATTGGTTTATTGTTGGTACATATTTCGTATGTTGGAATAGATGTTTATGTATTTTAAATTATTAGTTTTAAATATCATTAATGTTAGAATATATATTAACCATGCTACATATATATTTATTTATATACATTATATTTAACAACTATTTATATTTAAATTTAAAAACAATCAAAATATTTTTTACCGAGTTTGAGTGACCATTTGCAAATTTACTTAAAAATTATAATTTATAATAATATAAAAGTGAACAGCGGTAATACCATTTTTAAGATTTCACATATAGGCAGCTAACACAGCAAAATTAGTAGAAATACCGTGAAATCTTGAGATTAAAGATGCCAAAAATCAAAGATCCAAAACAAAATTTTGTATTTTATTAAAGGTCCAAATAAGCTTTAAACTCTTCGATTTAAACGGAAAGAGAATGGGTCTGAAAGAGATCAGTGAAAACACTGCAATAACCTACACATTATGTATAGAAACACTAACTAATCACATTTTTTTCGTAATAAAAGTGTAATTAAAATCTTTAAAATAAATAATTCGTTTTTAGTCTATTATTTTTAATACACGCTGTATGGTTACTTTCTATAACAAGGTTGTCGTCAATTTGAAAACTATTTGATATTAAGGAAGTCTCAATGACTAATTATACTGTACAGGTGCGTTCACATATCAATTGATCAATATCCATACTATTGAGTACTGTGCTTGTACTTAATAGAGACCATATGTTATAATATCAAGCAGCTGGGCAAAGTCTATATTTCTACAAGTATTTCGCCAGTATGCAATGCCATGTAGCTTGAACGGTTGTATTATATAAAAAAATGTTGGTACTAAAGTGTCGAAAGTAAATGAGAAATCTTACTTTAACTAGCCGCTTCTGTAGCTTCAATACTATATACTATATGGCTTACACTGCAAGCGTGAAGCATAAAACTTGTGCAAGTTGCTTGAAAAGTGATTGGACTCTATGAAACTTTTGATTTCGTGTCCCTGTTAGATCTAGAGAAATATTTTATTTGATATTACTATATAGAATTATTTCGTGTAGGTAAAACCACTGTTCGCTTATATATCATTTGTTAACCATTCTTTTCGAATATAAAAACAGAAATAAAATTTTGAAATAAAGTATTCGATGCATGAAACATCAATAATAAAGCTGAAATGTTTTCATTTAAAAATTCTATAAATAATTAATGATAACTAAATATTCATAAAGGAACATAACTAAAAAGCGCACAGATAACCTACAATATACATCCTTTTGTCCACCGCGTAAATCATCCGCACGACGTCTGGAGAGCGCTACACATACAACAAGTATACCCACCGCAACAACAATTACAGTAGCGATCAATGGCACCATAAAATTCAAATCTAACCATTCTGGCATCCATGCTGGCAAACGTATGCGTGTGTGTATATTTCCAGAACTTTGACCGTCATCCAATGGCGCTATTGTGCCTGTTTTTAGTAATATTAACGCGACACGCAACGCATCATTTTCGAATTAAGTTTCGATTACGATTCGAAGTTAGATAATTGATAACGAATGTCAAAATAATTTGGTGTTATACAAACCGTTTTCACAATTTCATTCAATTACAAGCATATTTACGTGTATTACGTGTATTTATTGTAAACAAAAATTTGCATGCATAATTTGTAATTTCGAACAAAGGAATTTTCGAAATTTTCGAAATTTTTATGTTTTTGTTTTTTGTAATTCATAGCCACAAACATTAAAACCGTTTAATGATGCATAACGTTATTTTTGAACATAATACAGGATCATTTCGAAATCATAATGGATAGTAAGTAATTTAAGCGGGTAATCGAATAGTAAGAGAGAGAGCGAGAAAAAAAGAGAAAAAGAAAAGAATATGTTAATAAAACTGTTTTATACCTTTGTGATGATTGCCTTTGCTACGTAGAATACAAATAACAATTATTGCTATGATTATAACAAGTAGAGCAGCTACCACCGGCACAACTAAATTTAAGTTCGAAAGTATGATGCGGATGGTATCCTCGGCAGTTAATTCGGGTAAGTCACGCGAAGGTGCAATTGTGCCTGTAACAACCAAATGTAGCGTACATGTTTGCTTTATGCTCTTCTTTTCAAATTTTTTTTTTTTTAATTTTAAAATAGATATTTCATAGGTTTATTTCGCTTTATAAATTCTTTCTTTTTATTTAAATTTTTAACTGAAATTTCGAACATTACCTTTGTACCTCATATTTCGAAAATACGTATACACAAATTTACAAAAGAACGATAATAGTAACATAAACTAAGTCGAAAATTGAAAATTAATTCGAACAAACATTTTTAACAGTATAAAATAATTTATAATAGAGTTAAAAATTTTTTTAAAGAACCGTGATATTAACAATAATAACAGGCAAACTAGTGTAGATTATTAGAAAAATAACTATTTTATATATATGGTAGAACATATAAAACTTTTATAATAAGATTATTCACTAAAATTATTTAAGTTAGTTTTGATCAATAATATTTTTAATAATTATTTATATTATTTATGATATAAAAATGTAATGATCTATGTAATCTTATAAGCGAAGTTTTTAAATTTAAAATAATACCTTAAGTATTACACTATTCATAAAGTATATAATAATGGAGATGAATTCGAACAAATATTCGAAAGCCATGAAAAAGTGTTTTGATATAAAATGTGTTGATGTATGTAGAAAACATATGTGATGAAATTGTCTGAATGTTATTTTCAAAATGATGGTATAAGTAATGTGATAATGATTCAAATTAATGGAAAACATAAGAAGTTCATATAAAAATGTGTTATAAAATATTAAATACAAATATTGCAGACGTCCTTAGGTTCAGAAAAAAGAAAGAAAGAAAATTTCAGAAAAATTCAAAGAAATTTAAAGTCGAACTGTGAACTCAATAAGAATCGGATTTAATTTGATATTTAAATACATCTAAGGTCTTTTTATACTTCCAAGGCAAATAACATAAGAAAAAAATGAATCTTATAAAGACAATAAATAAGAAGGAAAGAAGATAATATAATTACAACAATAACAACAGACAATAACTACTACCCATGCAACAACAGCTACAATAGCTGTTGGCGCACTTTTTTAGATGGTCGCGTGTTGAAGAAACTCGAGTATGTTTGAATTCGAACATTTGAATCGAAATCTTTAAATGTTCGAAATTATTCGACTTACGCCTTGTTTTCACTATGTCATTTTAAATGGCAATTATAATTAACTGGTGCTTCAAATGCGTTTTCATTAACTGAGAGGAATGCGAATATAGCGAGGTGTTACTCCGGCATCGAATCGAATCGAAATCTTTAAATGTTCGAAATTATTTGACTTAGGCCTTGTTTTCACTATGTCATTTTAAATGACAATTATAATTGACTGGTGTTTCAAATGCGTTTTCATTAACTGAGAAGAATGCGAATATAGCGAGGTGTTACTTCGCCATCGAATCGAAATCTTTAAATGTTCGAAATTACTTGACTTATGCCTTGTTTTCACTATGTCATTTTAAATGACAAATGCGTTTTCATTAACTGAGAAGAATGCGAATATGACATCATATGACTACCCGATTTCATTATACTGACAACATCAATATTTCATATTATTTTCAAACATTTTCATGAGGTTCGCTGTGTATGAGTATTTTGCATACCTGAACATAAGAAAATACCGCAAGTTTTGTTCAGCTCGATTAATATTTGAAACCCTCAGTGATGCTTACTATAAGCACCGACTATAAGCAAAAATTTTTTAAGTGAGGTCACTTAAGACATCTTCAACTTTTTTTATTTCTACTATAAGTGGAAAAAAAATTTAAATCAGTAAAATTAAAATACTTAATAATATCATCGTTCATAATAAGTAAAGAAGAAAAAGATTTGGAAATTTATTCACCTCAGACACATTTGATCCAATTTATATATACAAGAGGTATATTTACAATATATTAAAGATTCATACATTAGTTGTTCAAAATTTGTAAATGATAGATTATTAAAAGCTATATATACTTTATGAGATAAAAAGCATTAAAACTTCTAGAAACTTTTAAAAACTTCGCATAAGCATATATGTATGTAATTTTGAATTAATATTATAAAATATTATATGTACTAAAATATTTTTAATTATCGTACTTAAATGCAATTTGTTTTTTTATTGGTTTAAATAAATTTCATCGTTTTCAGCTAATATCAAAAAGAAACTAAATTAACTCATATGCCAAAATTTTATTTTAATTTTAGATTTCTATATGTAATTAGTTTTAAAGCAAAGTAACTGCGTTAACAAGATAAATATATATAGATATGTTTGAGTTAATTAACTATCAAAATTAATTTTATGCGAGTATGTAATTTTTAGTAACATTCCTTAGCATTATCATTATTTTTTTAATTAGTCTTTATATATTAAAAACGCATAAAAACAAAAATCAGTTTTGATGTTCTGAAATGACGAGCGAACGAACTTTTTAATTATAACAAAAACTAAATTTAATAATTTATAAATATATAAAATTTATATATAAACTAATATTAACTAAATTGAAATGAATGAAAATGTAAAATTTAAATTAATTTAAAAAACGAAATAAACTTATTTGTTTTGATCATTTTCAAATTTCATATTCCTCATGAACGAATGATTCTTCGTCTGAATCCTTTGGTTGTTGCAGGTACAAATTTCAATCACTGATTTTTCTCAGTGTTTTTGTATATATTTTTAATTTGATATTTTAAATTTAATTTCATTGCTTAATATTTTTCTTAAAATTTTTTTAAAATTAAATTTTTAACTATTAATTAATTGATTTAAATTCTGGTTTATAAAATGAAAATTGTATGCGTTGGATTTTTTCGGTGAAATGCTAATTAATAATTTGATTTACGAAATATAAAAACTAATAAAAATGCATAAAAATATGATATAACAACTAAAATATAATAAATTTTGTTATTTATTTTAAGTTTAAGTTTTACAAACCAAGTTATTTTATACTAAAAATAATTTCTTATGAATATAATAACGTGTTTACTTTTTTACAATAGTTTTTTTTTTTTAAATTTAATGCAGAAAAGTTGAAACTAAAATTTGTACTTTTCTCTCCGGTCTTTTTTATTTTACTTGCCAAATCTACTTTACAAGTTAAACGAGCTGTATTTTGTGCTAACGACAAATGCATACTAATACTTGTTAATATAGGTCATACAGCCATCATAGTGCCATTCTTCATTCCCCATTCTCCATTCACCATTTTTACTGTTTATAGATTCGAGTCCATCATCGTTTTTTGATACGTTTTTGTGTTTGTTTTGTTATCCTGTGTTATTTTGGTGTGCTTTAATGCTAGTAATCTGATCTCTACTTTATTAATTTAGAGAGTAGTAATTCTGAGTCGTAGACCCATCGATTTTGGAATTCATGTACTAGTAGATGTAGTTAGCGAATGAGTTCACAATGTTATTGATTAATTAAGTTGTTTTGTCCATATCTAATAAAAATAGAATATGCGTTCCAATCTCCGAATCCGGTTTAACTCATTTGAAGTATATATTTTACTTGAGTTTCAGTTTGGATAAATTTTTATATGATTAATTAAATATTACTTAACATATTAGTACCTATATGTTTTCCATTCAAATATATACAATTACTTATTTTTAAATATTACAGACACCAAACAATACATATATTTATAGCATAAGTTTCTTATGTAAAGAAAATTTAAATGTCTAGTTAACAGTAATCAAGAAGAATTTATTTACTTTTCAAAATAATGTTTATACATATTGCTAGTAGCAGTGGCGTAACTACATTTTTTAGGCCTGTAAGCAAATTCTAACTAAGGGGCCCCTACCAACATAGTAAGACGCCCCTCTTTTTATACTCTTTACACGAAAAAATGTGAAAAGGATATATAAGGTTTGTCAAGATTTTCGTAACGCATTAAAGGAAACGTCGGAAATATCATTAAGTATATATCAGTACAATATATATATACTTTTTCAGTTCAAACTACTCTCTCAGCTTTTGAACTCTTCGAACGAAACTTTACACACATACTTTTCGGGAGCCATTTGGTTTGATTGAAATTGGACGTCTATTTCTTGTATCTGTGATATAAACTTAACAATCGGATATGAGGTTTCTCCGTTTTTAATAAAGGTATTCAAATGAAATTTGGTGTATACAGTACTGATATTTGCAAAAGACAACGTACAAAATTATTTTCAAATAGGTTTAAATCTAGATATAGCTTCCATATAAGTCTCTCGATTAAGACACATATTTTTCTTAGAAAAACTTTTTTATTTTATAAATAGGTTTAATATTTTATTTGAAGTACATACATATTATGTACTTTAAATTTAAAATTTACGTATCTTTTATAAAATGCAATATGAAGTTAATCCAACAAAAAACGTTTCGTCCCACTTTTGAGAATTTATTAAAAATAAATACAATGAATACAAAAATTTATAGTGGGGCCCCCTAAATTCGGGGGCCCGAAAGCGTTGCTTCCAGTTGCTTCCCTGTAATTACGCCACTGGCTAGTAGGGAATATCCTTGAAGGGCATAAGCCTTGTTCGACACTGTACTTATTGTGCTTGAAAAGGGTTTATACAAATTTGTCGCAGAGTAATTTGTCAATATCAACCAAAAACTTGTTAACTTTAACAAAAATAATTAATGAAGGCAAATCCAGTATTTTGTGCCAAAGTTCGTAAACCTTAGGAACTGATATTTATAGGTCTTAGGAACATAGTATTTAAAAAAAAATTGGTATAGAATAAAAAGTTTCGTTTATAATGTTTACGGAATAATGATACGGAATGTCAAAGAGTCATATATTCAGGAAGGATATTAATTTAAAAAACTTATTATTTAGTAAGTAGTTTATCTAACTATCTAACTACTAGATCTAGTAAAGTACATCTAATTATCTGACAACCAAAACAAAAAGGTTAACTTTTAAAGTCCGATCAGTTGAAGTGTACGGTATTATAGAAGGCGCCATAAATATAAGAGAGGCTCCCTCATAGAAAGTGGGATGGATTGATGTCAGTAAGAAATAGAGATGAATAAAGGAAAACAGGTTTAGGTTCTTAATGTATTATCAAAATGTAAAAGAAAGGTGTATATAGATTCTGATCAAAAAAGCACGAAAGGCCTATTTTTGAATTGCCGCGCTTATCCAATCGGTAAATTTTTTTATTTTCACGCTGGCAACACTATTATACACATTCTGTCAAAGTTTAACGCATATCGTACGATTAGTTCCTGTTTGGCGTCTGTACAAAAAGTCGAAAAATTTTCGTGTGGCGATTTTTATAATGGATCAAAAATTAGAACGTGCGTGCATCAAATTTTGTGTTGCAAATGGATTCAAGTGTGCCGAAACTGTTAAAAAAATGTTAAAAAAGGCCTTTGGTGATTTGTGTGTGTCGCAACCACGAGCATACGAATGGTTTAAAAGGTTCAAACACGGTCGTACAAGCTTATACCATGATGAGATCCCTGGCCGCCCAACAACTTCTGTTACTGAAGAAAACATTGAATCGGCGAAGCAGATCGTGTTGGAAAATCGTTGTGAACCGATTAGAGAGATTGCAGTGTTGTTAGACATCTCATATGGATCGGCCGAACACATTTTAACTGATGTTTTGGGTTTGAAACCCTTTGCTTCTCGGCTGGTGGCAAAAAAGCTGAATTTCATTCAAAAAAGCAGCAGATTATGGCCAAAAACTCCACCAATATCATTAACCAAGCACAGTACTCTCCAGATATGGCCCCGTGTGACTTTTTCCTCTTCCCCCAACTCAAATTGTCATTGCGAGGAACGCGTTTTCAGACCATAGACCATTTTTCGACTTCTTTGTATCGACGCTAAACAAAAACTAATCGTACGATATGCGTTAAACTTTGACAGAATGTGTATAATAGTTTTGCCAGCGTGAAAATAAAAAAATTTATCGATTGGATAAGCGCGGGAATCACAGTTCCCGTCAATAAGTTCTTTTTTGATCACAAGGTAAGTGTAAATATGCAGTCATATCTCAATTTTATTTACAAACTATTGACAAAAAACAAATATTTAGAGCTATTCGATTTAAATTCGTATATTCGTACTCACTGAATGATTCGAATAGCAAATCAATTGAATGATATTGACAGTCTTCATTTGCAAACATTTTTATCAATTTATCAATTTGTAATATATTTTTTGATGATCGCGTTTTGATTACGTACCAATTTAAAATCTATAATAATATTTTTAAATAAATAATTTAATTTTAACTTAGTTGTCACAGTCACTATTTTTTACAATAATTAATACACACATTATTTTCTAATTCGAAACTAACTATTTTTAAATACATATTACACATTTTAGCAGCTATAATATATATACGATTTAAATAATAAAATTAAGTTTATGATATTCCTTACAAATATACAAGGGATACATAGTATAAAATTACAAACAATTTGCTGACATATATTTACATTTTAAGGACTGTATACATTTCTTTTTTTAGCTGTCTTTTAAGCATTTCTATATCAATATAAACAAAGGTCTCCACAGATTTTCAGTATTTTATATATTTATATGAATATATATGGGATGTATTATATTAAATTATAATATTATAATATTTATACACAATACATTTTTTATGTATTTTTTTACTTTGATTTAGGATTTAGCATATTTCATATATCTTATATACGAGTATATAGTTAAATAAACTTGGTTCATAAAACTTTACTTTCAGAAATAAATAGTAAATAAAGTTTAAATAAAGAAACTATTTTATACTAATTAATAAATGATAAAATAATAAGTTTAAATACATTTGATTTGTTAATTTAACTACAAAATGCTGCTTTAGCTATTTTACTTTCGTTGTGTGATAAAGGTGATTTTGGTTGTGATTTGGTGGTAATTTCGGGGATTGAGGATAAAAACAAATTGCATTTACGCAAGAAAACTATTAAGTTTTTTTTTTTGTATTAACAACGATTCATTGCAACTATTTTCTAAAAATGTATAAAATCATAAATTATATTTATAAGATTTTTAGTATTTTAATTACATTAATTGGCCAATTGTAAAAAATTGAACTGAACATTTGAGAAAAAGCGTAAAAAATAATACTTGAAACTTAAACGAAAGTGCACTTGTAATAATAAAAAAACAATAATTAAATTATATTTAATATTTGAAAAGCAAGATACACTATAAAAAATATTCAATCAAACTTTATATACAGAAAAAGCAGGCGTGGCTATTTTCTCTTAGAGTTTTTTACTTTCAACGTAAAACAATTTCTTGTTATTTGTATGTAGGCAATGTTGTGAGCTATACAGATTATTTATACTTAATACTTTATCTACATTATGATTATTTTATATACACATATATACATACTTATGTATATTTATTTGTTTAAAAATTTATTTTCTTTGCTATTTTGACAGCCCCTAACATTGCCTACTCTTTACGTAGTTTTTATGTACAAAAGCAATGTGAAATTATAGTTAATATTTTGTATATCACTTTTATATATAGAAAATAATTTATATATAAAACATTATATACAATTTATTAATTGGAAAACAGATCATAAATACCTCCAGTTACAGTTAATGTAGCAAAATCATACTCAGCAACGGTGAAACCAGCTGAGTTATGCGCTGTGATGCGTAGATTATACCAGGTTGCAGGTTCCAAGTCCAAGACAACATAATTGTTATCAGGCTTAACATTATTTGATATTTGATTCCATTCAATTTGGTCACTAAGAAAATATTTAAATTGGAATACAATCATAATAGAATAAGAATAAATAGAATCTTTAATAATGATGTGGTTTTTAAAGAGATATTCAGCTTTTAGGCATTCATACCGTTTTTTGTTTTCTACCACGAAGTGCGACATTGGGCAGCCACCATCTTTCCATGCTTTAAAGTGCAATGAAACCGAGTTAGAGGAAACTTCAATGAAACGTGATTTTTCTGGTAATTTTGGCTTGTATCCTTTGGTCCGTGTATTTAAAATATCAGAAGCTTCACCAGCACCAATACTGCAAAGAAATCAAAACATGATATATCGATAATAGGTTTATGCGTATTCAAAAACTTACTTATTGAAACCAGTTGCATACACCTGATAACGTGACCCACACAGTAGACTATCAATAGAGAACTTTTGTGCATCAACAGAAACCTCCGCAGTTTCCCATTCTCCGAATTCTATTAGGCATATTAAACATTAATGCAGAAAATATAAAACAATTTTAACATTAGAATCATACCTGGTTTATAGTGCAGAGTATATCCATGAAGTGGAGCAGTATCACCTTCATGTGGTTTCAATTTAACAGTCAACGAATCAGTTGTTGTGGCTGAGAGACTAACTTGAGGTGATTGTGGTGGCGCTAAAACAATTAACTTATGTGTTATGGAGTCCTTAGCGATCGAGTTTTCAGCATGGCAACTGTAATCACCAGCATCTTGACGATTAACAGATTTTATCAACAGCGAACCATCATTTAAAATGCGCATACGATCGTTGCCACTGAATTCGATGCCCTTAATTTTCCATGTGATGTCAGGTTGTGGTGAACCTACAGCCAAACAAGGCATTTTTGCATCTTCCTTAAAAGTAGCTGTGAATGTGTCATCGAATGAGGCAATCTTGGCTGGAACTTGATCACTGGGCATAGCAACAATACTTTTTGAAGGTTGACCTTCGCCAATATTGGTACTAGCGGTAACCCAGAATTCATAAGGTTTATTCTTCTCTAGTTCAGTAGCTTCGAAACTCATTTGATAATGTGGTATTTTTTGACTCTTAGCTTCTCCATCGGCTCCTTCAACTTTCGAATAGACTGTATATTGCTGTATAATTCCATTGGGTTGTGCTGGTGGACGCCATGAAACTAAAATAGCAGCATGACCCATTACTAGTGCTTTAACATCGGTGGGGGCCTCAGGTACTGTAAGTGCATTGTATGTATATATGTAGAAAACATTGTACATAATTATATTAATTTAATTTAATATTACCATCAGGTTCGGTTTGGCAGTGTATGGGTGCGCTACGTACACCATCTCCGCCAGCAGTTGTAGCTAAAACTTGCATTGTATAGTTGGTGTATTTCTTTAATCCATGTAAAACGGTATCAGAGGAAGCAGTCTTTTTGTAGTGGCGTTTGGTTTCATCTAAAAAAAAGTATTAAATACGGGAAAAAAACAAATATAGTATATAATCACTTACCATACCACTCGTCGCTGGGGGCATATACAACTTTGTATGTCTTGATAACACCATTTGCAGATTCCAATGGTGGACTAACCCAACTAACGCGTATTGTCTGTGAAGTTAGAGTTGTGCAAGCAGTGTCGCTAGGTGGTTGACTGGGTGTGCCTTCAGCAGTAAATTGTTTCTCTTCATCACTCATTGGACCAGCACCAATTTTGTTAAACGCCTGTATAACGACCGAGTACTGTGTATAAACGCGTAAATTACTGAGTTCCAAATTATGTTCTTTGCCCTCTTCAGTTAAGAAATTAACAGTTTCGAAAACAAAAGATGAATTAGTATTTGATAGTTTATAACCCACGTAGTATCCCAAAATTTCACCATTCCATTCTGTACGCGCTGGTGGTTTCCAAGTTACACGCAGTGTAGTCTGATTGACTGGTTCAACTTTAATATTTTGTGGTTTTCCAGAAGGTGCTTCTTCGGCAGTGATGATTGTTACAGCTTCGGATGATTGAGATGAACCAATTGCATTTTCGGCGACAATTCGAATATTATATGTGGTAGCTGGACTGAGTTTTTGTACTTGTGCTTCAGTTGTGTGTCCGGGTACCATAACACGATCGATCTCATCCCAAGATGCACGAGAGCGTTTAAATTCGATGATATAACGGATCAGTGGGGAATTACCATCATAGGGTTGTGCCCAGCTTAATTGTACCGATCGTCCAGATTTATCTAAAACTTTCAAGGCATATGGCATTTCGGGTACTTCTTGTATAATCATATTAATGTTAGCATCGTCGGAACCGAAAGCATTCGTAGCAACACAAGTAAACATAGCAGAATCGGAACGCTCAGTGCGTTTGATTGAAAGACTTGACATAACACCGGTTGAAAGAATTTCCTCGCGTATAGTATAACGGTTATCGTTCTTGGGGTCCAAGCGCATATTATTCATATTCCATAAAATGCCAATAGGTTTTTCGCCTTTAGCTTCACATTGCAAGACAGCAGGTTCGCCGCGGCGTGCAGTTTGATTACGCAGTTTTTCAGTAAATTCTGGTGGTGCTTGTACACTGATCATAATAACAGCTGATAGACCAGATCCAATACCATTGATAGCTTCACATAAATAGTAACCTTCATTAGTTTTTTGTATATTATCGATGTGTAAAGTGCCTTCTTCAACACGTATATTATCGTTTTTCTTAAGATCTTTATATTCTCCAGGGCTATCACCTGATAAAGTAAATTTTGATTTTATTTTTACTAATATTAATGTACAATATAAACTAATTGACAATAGTACAGTGGTTGTTTATGGTAAAGTAATATTGTCAAAAAAAATTAAAAGAAGTTATTAGTAGTTAAAACTAAATAAATTAATAGTATGAGGCTTTAAACAATTTATTTCGCTTAGTTTATTTATAATAAAATATATGATAAAAAATATAAAATATATGATAAAAGTATATGCTCGTATATATAATTTGTAATTTTTCGTATGACTTACCAACTGCTTTCTTCCATGTCACTTGTGGTTTTGGAAAACCGTCAGCCTTACATTCAACTTTCGCATCTGATCCTTGTGCGAAGGCTTTGTCAGTCGGTTCCAAAATCCATCTTGGTGGTACTGTTGTTTTAATTTCCATTTATTAAATAAAGGATATAGAAAAAATAATGAATTAGTATATTGTTACGGAGACTAAGATATTCTACATTATTTTTGCATGCGGAAAGAAGAGTAAAAACTCTGAATCGGATGGACGGATCAACAGAAGGATATATGAAATGGATATTTAAAATTTAGTACATTTGTTTTTATTTTCATGTATATAATACCATTTCATATTTCCTTATTGTACTTACAGAAATACTGATGTGAGGTAAGATATTACTCTGCTTATAATTAAGTCATTTATCAATAAAATTATTTGAATTATTATTTTAATTTTTATTTTCTTATAATAAAATGTGATACATCTGATTTTTTTTTGTTTATTTGGGTTTTCTTAAATCTATATTACTATCTTATTTTTGTAACTATCCCTTGCGAGTATCTAAATTTAAAATTTAGTAAATTTTATTTTTTATTTGCTAATATTGAATTTAATTTTATATGTCTTTATACATCTATAATATTTTTAACAAAAGTCTCTTATAAAGATATGTATTCCATTGGGTTTATTTCATATAGCCTTTAAATGATATTATCTTCAAGAAAACCTTCTTTAAGGAGGAAAAATCATGTATTGAGTAATTTGTTCGGTTTGGTATATTCGACTGTTTTCAACGAAAGATGCTAACAGCAGATATGTTGACTTAGAGTTAAAGAACACATATTCTCGCTGATAATGCTGTTGTCTAACGTATAAATATAATGTTTTAAATATTTCTCACAAGGAAGACGGTACTTGAAATAAGTTGACCTTGCTGTACATTATTTTATAATATTTATTTTATGAGATATAAAACCTAGATACAAAAACCTATAAAACCTATTTGAAAAGTGAATTTAAATTAATATTTAAAGATCTTTATAGCACATATTTGGACGATATAGAAACTCGTCAAATATCCGCATTTATGAATGCGTTCAGATGGGTATATGTGTAATATGGGTGGAAAAAAAGTAATTAGAAAAGCTTTTGTCTATCTACCTTTATAATTTATTTTATATATATATATACTATATATATACACTATAAAATTTGATAGTGTTTTTATTCATCACTATATTTTTAGTGAAAATATATTGTTTTTTCTGAAAAGCAAAAAGTAATAATTCTTTTATTTCATTCTTTTTTACAATTGTATTTTTTAATATTGAAATGGTTTATGAAGTTTTTTCCTACAAAATTTTATTCAATTTTTTATTAAATTTTATTTTATTCACTTTTATGTTTTCGTTTTTTGTGTGTATAGCTGGTACTTTGACTGTCGTTGTTTAAATTGTATTTCATTTAAACATAAGAATGCCCACATGTAGGTGAGATCTGACTATAATAATTTCTGTTCTAGTGTCTATAGTAAATGTTGTTAAAAATCGTTTGATTATTATTATTTACTTTATCAAAATATAATTTCTTTTATTATAAGAAAATTAATTATTAATTATTTCTTTTACTTATTTTACTGATTAAATGAAATAATTATTTCAAAAGTAACGTCAATATTTCTGTAAATATGTATTTTACATTAATAAATTGGTACGAACTACAACAAAAAAGCGTTTACAAACAAATATTAATCAAATTAAATTTAACAAGGACAACAGAAAGCTGTGTTTAATTAAAATTAAAAATAATAAAACTTAAATTTAATTATTTGATTATATATATGTATATAGTATATTTAGGCATGCGTTAAACGAAGTGTTGCCTGGTGTGGAAATATGAGTAAGAATATTTTAGTGTAATAATTTTAACCCATACCAGACAACAATAGTTAGACTTCGTTCATATACAAATGAGGTTTTTAATGAAAATGATATATAATAAAGAGAGGATGTTTAAGGATGGGACAGGATTAGATGGGATTCATTTTTATGCGGTGAATGGTTGATATGCTTCTCACTGGCATATAATATTCTAACCCATCACAAAAGTATTAGCAAGTTTTAGTAGTTGCATTGGTATATTAACGTAGTTACTCAAGGATTGTAGCAGTGAGGGTGTGATGAAATGACTGAATAAGATTTTTATGCTATTTTGTGTTTTTGACTTATTTGCTGCGCACATTTATGTTCTTCAATTTTCAAGTCAGTACGACAAATTGATTCTTTTGAGTTGCAAAAATGATTATATATATTATATTAGCTGCCTTAAATCAACTTAAATTAAATCATTTACAATAAATGAACAAAAATTATGCAAATTAAAGTAATTTAAAATTTATTAAATTAAAATATTAGCAATATCGAAAGCCATATATAATATAAGCTATGCTGTTGTTTAGCAACTGTGTGCTACATACAAGCATTTGTTTTTAGTAGAGTGCAAGATGGTTTCTTGGTTGGTTGTTGTGTGTTCTTGTTGTATATTTTGATAAGTGATAATTTAGTTGTGCGTGTTTTGTAGTGTTTTGTGCCTTGGTAGTGATAATGTATGCAAAATTTGAGCTGTTTTGCCATCGAATTTATTAAATTAAATGTTTTTGGTTAAATATTTGAATTCGTTTAACTATGGTTAGGTTTCGACTAACTTTAGTTTATTGAAAAATGATTCATTGGAGTGCTGTTGCCATAATTTGTTAGATATTTGGTTTTTTCGATTATATTTTATATATACAAAAGTTTTTCATCAGTAGCTAAAAGTTTCGCTTGAATCAACGTTAGACAAGTAGTTTAATTATATTTAATTATAAAAAAGATATTTAAATGTTTTTAAACGTACGAAGTGTTTTTCCTTTCTTGTTAAAATAAGTATTTTACAAAATTTAATTTATTATTTTTTTTAATAAAAACTGTTGAAAAGAGAGAAATATTAGAAAATACTGGTGTTGAGTTTAGACGAAGGTGTCTGTTACAAAAGAGAAAAAAAATTATTAACTATTTTGAAGTTTTAGCCTACCATTCACAATTAACGTGACCACTTTGTTAACCTTTCCGACTTTATTGGTGACTTCACATTTGTAGAGTCCAGCATGGTCGGACGTTACATTATTGATCAGTAAAAGGCTAGTGTGCTCCCCTACACTAGCCACAGTAGCAATATTGTTTTGCAGACTAACACTATTTAAATACCATTGGAATAATAGAGGAAGATCACCCTTTGTCGCTATACATGTTAACTGCACATATTCACCCATATGACTTATAATGGCTGATTGTGCTAGATCGGCCAGTATGGGCAGCTCTTTAAGAAAAATGTGATGTTTTAATTAAAAATATTTGTAATGAAAGCTTGAGATTTTGAATTAAGCGAATTTCGGTTAAAGGATTTATTTTTAATTTTTAATATAGTTGAAGAAAAATAAAGAGTATTAGAGTAATGTAATCTGAAAATCTCAAAATCTCAATAGATTTCGGCTCTTTAATATTTAAATCAGAAATCAACTGGATGATATAATTGCTCACATAGTCCGCATTTTAATCATGTCCGAGCAACCTTTTACAGATTACTTATAAAATCAAATAAAATTATTAGATGGGACAACTTATATTTTGAAAAATAATTTTTAAATTCAAATTTAAATTTAGTACATAAAATATAAACTACAAAAAAAATTTGACCTCATACCCTTTACTTTCAGTTGTGACCATTTACTGGCCACACCAGCAGCATTACTTGCAACACATGTATAGTTTCCAGAATCACTAATTGTGGTCTGACGCAATGACAATATAAGAGTGTATTCGTCGATTTTATGATAAATAGAACGCAATAATGGCTGACCGTCTTTGAGCCAATAGATATCAATAGGTAAATCACCTGAAGTTATCATGCACATAACACGTACAGCTTGACCACCATTGACACCATTGGAGTTAAAATTAAATTGCTCGATTTGTGGTAGCTCTACATATGCGGGGAAGGGATCATAAATATTAGCAGTTAATAGTGCTCATATGTGCCCATGAATGAAAAATTAAAAAGTGCGTGATTAACCAAACATCCTGTTACGCTTAAAAGTATGCAATATTAATATGCTTAAGTAAAAGAAAAATTATAAAAACTAAATATGTTTTAAATTAAAATAAATACAATTTTATTATTTATTATTTTTGCTTCCGTTTTTAATATATTTAAAAACGAAATAGTTTAAATATAATATAAGCAAATAATATAAATATTGCACACTTTTAGGAGTATTAAAAATTGTTAGCCTGCACCTTGATTTGATACATACATCATAGCCAATGAAATAGTTCATGTTCCGCACCTTAACACCAACATAGCGTAAAAATATTTAATTCACACAGCTTAAGCGCCTAAATATATATAATATTTAATAGTTATTTACGAAAGAGTACATCTCATAGTCACTATGCTGACATACAAACACACATACTTATGTTGAAGATCAAATGAGTTAAATACACAAAGATACCTTACTGCAGTAAAATTAAACTATCTAAACTAAGTAATCTGCAAATCAATAAACAAACCCTTTATAGTTAGATTAGTGGAAACTAACGTATACCCCGCATGGTTTGCGCCCATACAAGTATATTTGCCAGCATGTTCACCGCGCACACTTTCAATATTCAATGAACTGCTGCGCTTGCTATGCATTAATATTGTAATGCCATCAACTAAATTGGCCGGTTCATCATTGTAGTACCAGGTTATATTAAAGGGCGCATCACCATGCACCACTGCACATGACAGTTGAAAGTAATCACCCAAATACAGTGGTGAATCGGCGTTTGTTGGGAGTGGCGCAAGTTTTGGTGGCACTAAATTTATTGTACAAATAAAAAATTTTTAAAGAGGATTTTAATAAATAAAACTTATTAAATATTATAAAAATAAGCATATAATAATTATGTAAATTAATCAAACGGCTTTTTATTAAAAATGTTGGTATTTAAAGAGCCATTTGGTATGCTTGTACCATTAACAATTAGTTGTGCTGTGTGATTTGTTACTCCAGCAGCATTTTTCCCAAAACATGTGTAATTGCCAACATGCGCACCCTGTACCGACTCGATAGTCAATACAGAACTTCGTGAACCCATTTTAGAAATCGATATACCCAACATTTCAGCGTAGCTTTCATCTAATTTCTGATCATTATAATACCAGTAGATAAGCAATGGATGATCTCCATGTATAATAGAACATTGTAGTGTAAAGAAATCACCGGGAAAGAATGCATCAGCACCGGCGGAAAATGGTGCAATTTTAAGTAAAACTAACAGAAATATTAAAAATAATTGAGAAGAATGAGAGAATGGATTAAAAAAAACTTTTCAATATAAGATTTTAATAAGTTCATTTCACTATTTTACTGATAAAATATTTTTATTCAAACAGATATTATGTTTCTATCAGATATTTGGTTCTTTTTTTTTACAGCACTTCAGAAAAATGGGAGACATCCATATAACTTGAAAAATGAAATGAAAGGCAACATTATATTCGAACTGAAAGTATATATAACATATCACTCTGCTTTAATATATACTCATAAAGGAAGGTATTCCAATAATAGGAAAATATTTCATGAACTACATTTCATGAACATTTCTTCAAATACAAGTGACGCTCCACGACATCACTTTATATTTACTAAGCACGATTGACAGTTCTAGTGAATAGTTATAATTTATTAAAATGATGAACTACTTCAACTTGAAATCTAATCCGCTATTTTATTAAAATAACAAGTTTAAAAAGTGTAGAGAGAAAACAATAGACCCATGCTTGGTCGCAGTAAACAATGGCGTTATGAATCCATTTGATTTTGGAACAATCATTTAATCAATATAACAGTGCATCTTACTAATTCACCCCAAAAGATATACAAAACCTTTTATTAGGACTATTCTTAATATGTTATTTGGGTTAATAATATTTGAATTAATTCTAGAAATTCTACGAAACTAATTAGATCTGTCATAAAATCATTAAATTTGTTTCTATAATATTTAGTTCAGTTGTGATTACTCAAACGTGCTATTTTGATAATGGCTTACAGCTTTACATGCTTAGAATCTCAGATATAAAAGTTTGTTACGTTGTTTAGTAAAAATTTTCCAAGCACCTACAAATTTTATCTAAAATTTCATTATTCGGTAAGTAAAGTTAGATAAATTTATAAAATTATGATAACTTAATTTTTGTATATAAAAATGTATTCAAGTTTTAAGTTAAATATATATTTGTTAATTTCTACTATATTTAGTTATTATACTGCATTATTATTACTTTGTATAGAAAAGTGTTAATTTTGCCACGACAGATATGGAGGAAAGAATATAGAAAGCTACTAAAAGTATACTTTCAGTGCATTGCATTACATACAATCGATATGATATCAATCGATTTATAAAAATTTAAAAAAAATTCTTCCGATTCTAACCATAAACATTGAGTTCCGTTGCAAATGTTTGCACACCCGCCGGATTTTCGGCATGACAAGTAAAATTTCCCGCATGTTGGTGGTCAACAAAATCTATTGTCAAGACACTGCTGCGGCGACCAACCATCATTGTGGTAATACCTAACTCTTCACTAACTACACGGTCATTCAATGTCCACTTAATAATTAATGGCAGATCACCAGTAGGGACTGAACAATGTAGTGTTAGGTATTGGCCCGTCTGTGCGGGACCCTCCTCAAAAGCAAAAGGAATTATGCGTGGTAGCACTAAAGTATGGAATATTCGGGAATTGTGCAAAATAAAATACATTAAAAATAATTTTAAATCAGTAAATTAAGAAATATACGTATAATAATATAGTTTTTAATTAGAATTTTTTATTTAAAAAAATTGCAAAAATTGTTAGAACCTATAACTTTCAATTGTGTAGTATAGCTAGTTTTGCCCGCTTCGTTTGAACCGTGGCAGCTATAATTTCCTGCGTTACGTCCATTAACACTTTCAATAGTCAAAACACTGCTACGGCGTCCTAGCTTTGAAATAATTATATCCTGATCATCGTCATTGACCAATGGTTGATTGTTAAAAGTCCAAAGTATATTTAATGGCAAATCGCCCTCAGTTATTGTACATTGATATGTTATATACTGACCGAGATGTACCGATTGACTGCCAGTCGAAAATGGCGAGATTTGCGGAGGTACTTTAAGTATATATGGTATATATAAATTCAGATTTCTTTAAGTGATGAAAAGGAACATATTACGATTTTTATTTCAATAAGTATATTTGCAACTCAAGTTTTCTTATCTCCGAAACGCAGTAAATTAAAGATATATTCAATATAATTTTAAAAACAAGTAGGGATAGATTATTTTTAGAATCAAACTGTTCTATAATTTTCTCTATTTATATTGTATATGTGGGAAAAATGGCTTGAGTTTTAATTAATAAGTTAAAAGAAATTTTTATAAAAAAAATAATATAATAAAAAATAAGTTCATTGAATAAAAAATAGATCTATTGTATCTCCTTTCACCATTAACAACTAAAGCTGCGTTAAACAAAGTCATCTGCGCATGGTTTCTCGCTCGGCAAGTATAATTTCCCGCATTATTTCCATTCACAGAGTCAATTGTGAGTACGCTAACTTTTTTACCGATTTTTGATGTTGTCACACCCAAATAATCATTCAACGGGTAATCATTAAAAAGCCATGTTATATCGACCGGCAGATCACCTTTCGATATGGTACATTGCACTGTTACTGAATCACCAAAATTAGCTGGTTCATCACCAAACTCAAATGGCGTTATTTTTGGTGGCACTTAGATAGGGAATACAAAATGAGAGTTAATATTTGGAATAAAATTATAAGATTAACAGAAACAACTTAAACACTTTAAAATATATTTAAAATTAATGTATAATTAATTTTGAAATCTATTCAACCATTAACAAATAATTCCGCTGTATGATATGCGATCCCTGCAATATTTTTGGCTACGCATGTGTAATTCCCCACATGACCGGCGTGCACTGCGTCGATGGTCAGTACACTTGCGCGTTTTCCACTTTTAAGTAACGTCACTCCACTACCAAAGTAGTTATGCATGGTATCATTATTCAGCAACCACTCGATATCGACTGGCATATCACCCGATGAGATCAGACAATTGACAGAAACGGAATCTTCAAAACTTGTTGGCTCGAGACCAAAATCGAAAGGTACTATTTTTGGCGGAACTACGGTTGTTCAGTTGTAAAGTATATAGCAATAAATAAAATTGAAAAAAAATTATAAATTTCAAATTCACATTTAAAAAAAATAGTATATTTTTTATAATTTCGTTTTCAAATCTAACAAAATATCGTGTATAAGTAATCTAATGCATTGATTGTAGGATATTATTAATGTTTATAATTCATCTAAATTACGTAGGTAAAATATTAATATTATTAAATATTAATAAAACATCAGATAAATTTTTCCAAGTTCCAAATTTTAATTTTAAATTTTTAAACAGATTCAGATAATTAGTTCCAACTCTATATATAAATGGATCCCTAAAAATATCTGGTATAAAAACAAACAATAAAAGTCATTATATTTAAGTTATATAAAATTTCTGATATTACCTTATAGTTCTACTACACACAATTCCAAGTGGAAAAGAAGTTTAGAATAATGACGTGGATGGACCTAAGCTTGGAGAAGAAAGAGAGAGGAAATGTTCTAGCAATAAACGCGATAACCTTAGTTTCAGAGTAAAAGAAACTAATAACAAAAATTTTATAAAATAATGAATTATTTTTTATTTTATAGCTATTTTTTTATTATACCAAATTTTATACAAAGCTTATTTAAATTTAAAAAACTATGTTATTTATATATAAGCCATTCAAAGCGCTTAGCCGATAACATGCAATAGAATTTTATTTTATTGAAGGGACTGTGGATGGGATTTTAATAATTTGGCTTAAATGAAAAAATCACCAACTAAAATTTTCCAATAAAATATTTGCTTTACTTAATTATTTTAAATAATAAAATTCATTATTGAATACCGTTAACTATTAATTGTGCGGTATAAGACGATGAGGCCCATAAATTTCTAGCTTTGCAAGTATAATTTCCAGCGTGACGCGCTGTTACAGCATCTATCATTAAGACACTTAAACGCTTGCCCATTTTTGAAGTTGTGATACCCGAATAGGAATTAAGTGGAAAATCATTGAATTGCCATTCAATGTCTAAAGGCAAATCACCCGAAGAAACAAGACAATTAATCGACACAGAATCTTCAAAATTGGCTGGAGCTTCACCGAAGTCAAAATGTGCTATTTTGGGTGCAACTGTAATGAGGAGATTTAGATTCATTGTGAAAGAGTTGAAGTACAGTTGAATCGAAATAAATGTTATAGTCAGGAGTATGTAAACGGAAGTATATATATGGCAAAAACAGCTATAGAGAAAATTATATGTCAACAAGATATGTTTGTGTATCTTAAACGCTTTATACGTATATAAGGTTAAGAGGTTTCAGGTTCTAAATAATTTAAACAAATAAATAAAAATAGTTTTTAAGTAATGTATGAACTATTGTCTACCATTCACAATAAGTTCTGTTGTGTAATTCACAGCAGCAGCATGATTTTTGGCTTTGCAGGTATATTTTCCAGCATGACGCGCATGTACATTATCTATTGTTAGCATACTAGTACGTTTACCACCTTTCATCACCGTAATACCCGAAAATGAACTAATACCGTAGTCGTTGAATAACCAATCTATGTCTATAGGTAAGTCCCCCGATGATATTAAACATGTTACGGAAACTGAATCTTCG